AAGGAGTTTTCACAAACTATTTGTGTTAAGCATAACACTAAGTCCTCTCTGCAAGCTACATGATAGGGTGGTGGAACAAGGTTTAAACATATAAATAAAAAGATCAATTTTTTATGTATTTTTCCTAAGTAATACATAGTTTTATAATTTTATGCTATGAATAAGATCAGTTTGCAATGTGTGTGTTTCTCTTTTCTACTCAGTATAAGATTTGGGGACCAAATTTATATATTTGCTAATTTTAAACAATACTGTTTCCAGACTTCAAATTCTCAGATGAGCTTTGTAGGAAAAATTATCAATGAAGCACTGGGTTTTGGTATCGTATTTAATTGTTCGATTGTAGACTATAGAATGTTTGGTTGGTTTTTTTTAAAGGAGGATTTGATTCCTGAAATAGTTTAGAACATGATTGGATGTGTTTTTGTATAATGGCATATGTTCTAGAAATATTACATAAGCAATTCCCTAATTAGATTTTGTTTCACAAAAATAATGGAGTAAAAGTGCTAATTCCATTGTGGAATAGAAGTTATAAATCTAGAATTACTGAAATTAAAAAATTAGAATTCCAGTTACATGGACCAAGTTCTCCTTTAAATATATAATAAATGTTTTTTTCATTTTTAATCAAATGAATGACTATCATCTGACATTCAGTGTTTTTGTAATATGTATGGAAAATTACCTCTTCTACATTCTGAGAGAGGACCATATGGAAATCTACCTGCACACCACTCGCTTCCAAAATAAAGTTTTAAAAAATTGGTCTTATATGTTTCTACTAAATGGCTTTTCTGTGTTTTTAGTTCTGTGTTTTAACTAAGAAAATTGCTTTTTCTTTGCTAAGGTTTAACTCCTCTCGATAAGTTAATTATAGGTAGATGCACTCATGTCCAGTGTTTCAGTGATCAAAGGTGGAAGAGCAGTACTGCTGAAAAAGGGAAAGCTTGGCTAGAGTTTGAGTGGGGAGAGGCTATTTGTATCCCATAGCTACACCCCTTATGGTTGTTTTTGGTAGGTGCACAGAATGAAGTGGTTTGGAAGGGAATAGACTGATGTGTCATGTTTGGGAGCTGAAAGTTTCAAAGTGCCTGATGTGTTCACCTCTGAGGACATTGTCCGACACTACCTCACTTGCAAATTTCAAAAGCTCGTCTTTGCAGTGCTTTAACAGTTAAACAGGGGCTAGTACGTTCATCATATATTTACCTATCTTGACTGCTTTGCTCCACTGCAGTGGCTGCTGGCAGCTGGAGGCCACCTTCAGCAGGGCTGGGAAGGCAGGGGCTGCGTATGGGGGCAAGGGGTACCAGCAAGGCTGTGGGAATGGAGTGAGGGGCACGAGCAGGTCAGGGGGTGAGGGGTTAGAGAGAGCCTTTCATTTTAATAATGGATTTTAGGGGGTTTATCAGAACATTTGTTATCTTTTTTAAATCAGGGAAAACCAGGATCCCTGGTTATAATGAATAATGGAAAGAGAGATGGTGGTAGGCTGGTGTCCCATAATTTCTATTCCCAAGCTCCCAAAGAAATCAACTCTTGTTTTAATAAACTGCATTAACTGTTGAACAAATTGACTGCTTCATTCCAAGGTATTGCATTAAAAGTTTGGTTTCATCACACACACAAATTAATTTCACAATGCAAGATTAACAAGTCTGAAACAGGGCTGAATCCCAGCACTTCAGTGAAGTGTCCATTTCCTCTTGCTACTTCTAACCAGCCTGCAGCAGTGAGTGAATCCTTTCAGTACAATAAAGAATAATGTACAAAAATCTACTGCTCAATCTACTACTTAATTAAAACTCAACTCATGACCAGAAGTAAATACAACAAAATGAAGATTACAGTAATTTTATTTCCGCTATAATCGTTACAGGGGAAAACAACTGAAATATCCACATATGAAAGTTGATTTAAAGCCCTGCTTTTTTACTTCAGTAATGCAAACTCATGCTCCTACATAGCAGGGATATAAGCAAAGATAATTTCAGTTTCTGTAACCCCATATACTCATATATGTGCTGGACAGATAGTCATAAGAGGCAGACTGTAATACCCTAACCTTTAAAAATATATCTTGCACTTTTTCTTAAATGCTACTTAAGTCAGGTCAATTAATTCTTGAATCATGACATCTGTCTTAACATTTTCAGAACTAGTATAAAATGTGTGTTCAGCCTTAAAAGGTGTAATTCATTTTTTTTAAGTTATCCTTTTAGCTGTACGGTTGTCAAAAGTAACAGGTACAAAATACTTCCTTTAAATTTTACAAATGTTGGGCCCCAATTGCATCTTTCTGGCTGTGTGCTTTCTTGCATAGCCCTAATGGGTGCTTATACACATGCTCTGGGAGGCAGGGCAGGAGTCTTTAATTAGAGCAGCACTGAATGAGCTTTAGGTAAAGTGGCCCCACCACCATTTTTGAGTACAAGGATGCTGCTCCACAAGACACTGGAGGCTATTGCAATTGGTATGGTAATTACCACACTACAGCAGACTCAATCAAGTCTGAGACAGCACATCAGAACAGCCTTGCTGCTCATGTCTAGGCACTCAATTGTATTGGGCATTAATTTGAGCAGGAAACAGGCTTTACACTTGGTCTCAGAGATGCAACTACAATGAAAAGGCATTAATGCCTCAAACACTTCACCTTCTCACATTATGGTAAGGGAGATTTGTCTTGCTAAAGCAACAAAAGCCATCTAACACAGCACTGGCCTACAATGTTACAGTTCCAGCTGCTTCTCTGAGGTGTACAACAAGAAATGCAGTGATTGGGATCAGACAGACCAACATGTGTCACCCTCCTCTGACCTATCCTGAGCCAAGAGGGTGTTAACAACTGAATAAATTTGAACATTTCAACTCAGCACCCCAGACTAATAGTTTGGATTCAAGCAGGGTTCTACAACGTAAGGTGGATCATCTGCATTTTGCTAACAGTACACCGATAATCCATTAGTCTGTCACATCTGGCCCAGATTCCATGTTCCTCATTTTACTAGTAGTTGACTAATCCCTTGCTGCTGGCTCTTGCAGTGGAGGGGGTAGTCTTTACATTATTCAGCTCCATGTCAAGGGCTGCTCTCCCCTCCACACTGCAGCCTCTGCTCACTAAGTTAAATTGTCCCTTGCTATGTCTTTCAAAGTAGACTGCTTTTGGGTGGGCAAAGGATAGAGATCAGCCAACTTGCACAGAGCAAAAACAACCAGGCCACAGCAGGAGATGGGCAGCCCACAGAGCAAAGCTGAGTCTCCAGAAATAATCTATGGTTAGGAAAGTTCCCAGCCCCTGAGCTAGATCACTTGAGGTAATGAGCTGGAATTTTAAGCAAGTGCTTTCCTGCATCCACCTTGAAAGCTTCCAGAACGAGAGGATTCAGTGAAAGTATGTATAGAACCCAGAGATGCAATTTGAACCAAGCAGCAAGGAAACTACTAACCTTGTCATAGCCCTCAGAAGTTGATTCATTCTCCCTCCGCAGAGTCTAATACGTTGTTTGTTTCAATAATATCCTTTTACTTGCCTAGAGGACAAGTTCTGCTTGCCTTATGACCAGAATAAGACCAGAAGTTCTGGGCACTAGATATGTTTTGACATCAAAACACAAGTTTTCTTGAATTCTTTAAGTGCTCCTGAGAAGCAGGTTAACATGTTACAGTAACATACACAGCTGTCACATTCATTACACTAATTTGTTACATAAGATTGGTCATAATGAGCTCATGTACACACCAGGTTTTGCCCTTTCATGCGCTGCAACTGCTTCTCTGTTTGCACGAGTGGAATTTCCCAACACTTCAAAAGTCTTTCTTGTGCATTAAACTAAAACTCCTTGGATGTAGTTTAGTTTGGCTCACTGGGAATTAAAGCATCACATCCATGGATTTGTTGCATGCAAACACAAGGGTACTCAAAGACATGTAATGAGCCTTTATCCACCAGATGGCACTGCAACTTTTTTTTTTTTATTTATTTATTTATAGTTCACCCCTTCGAATTGCTTTTGCTTTCAAAGTGTTTCCACTTTTTAAAAGTAACACACCTTGGATGTAGGGGGTTTCTTTTGTGCGCGTGTGGTTTGCCAGCTCCCTGCTTCTACAGCTGTGTGGCAGGGATGGGCACTGGGTAAGTTGGGGGGGGGGGGG